GATTTGGATATGGGTACGATGCGGCGTGGTGTTCACTTTGCTATGCTGAGCAAGGATATTTTCCGCTGTGTTTTTTTCCCCCTCCGGAGGGGGAAAGTCTGGACTTAGATTGGGACCTTAGACTCAAAGAAGTTGAAGCTGTACCTTGGAAGGAAGTTTCACAGATTCTCGCTACCGGCATGATACCATAACTTAACGTCCAAAAGAAGAATATGCGCACGGTGAATGGGTGAATAATAAAATCTTAGTATGATGGTATGCGGTCCACAACCGCGCCGTTATCGTACCGCGAGTCAGTTGGAAGGACAAAGTTTGCTACCGGATGCAGGTAATCGTGGTATTGTACCACAATGAACCTCGACCCTAACTAACCGTCTACACGAATCAGAGGGAGGGGACCGTTACTGTAGTTGGGAGATTTTGGTTGGAGGAGTTTTCAGAGGGAGACACGCTGGACCTTCCGGTAAACTTAAATAATTGGTTCAACCCGGTAGTCATTCTGTTGGTTGGGTTATCGCGTTTTGTGGAGTTTTTCTCAATTCTGATCTGTGTAAACCGGGGATTCTATAAAACAACACTTTCTTTCCTTCTTCCTCAATCGCTGCCGCATCCTCATTCTTTTTTCTTTTCCTTCCCTCTGATCGCTTTGGCTCCTTTTGGCCAGGAAGTGAAGAACAATCCCTGCATGTAGGCGCCAAGGGTTGAGGAAGACAGCCTCCAGAATGGACTGTGGAAGGACAAACGCGTCTCTCTCAGTAGTAATCACAATACCAGCTGCAAGGAAGGACTTTCACCACACGGGTTACCCAAGGTGGAGTTTGCACTTTAAGGTGAGTTTGATGGGGCGAAACGGGCTCACAATCGAGATGCAGCTCACAATGCGATTGGAAGGAGATCAGAAAGTAAGGGAAAAGGGGGCAAGAAAGTGAGCGGTACCGGGACCGCTACTGCGCACAGGTGGGATTGTGGGAGAGACAAACTGCGCCCCTGTTATGATACTACAGCCGAGAATATTGCCCCCAGTGCATCTCTTCTGTGCATCTTCGCCAAAAGCCTTTCTCCAGGGAAGGCCTGCCTTTGCCATCCAATCATTCGGAGGTGACGGAAAGGGAACATGTCCCTTCCCACCACCTTCCCCCTGCCTAGATTGTCCCTGTCCCTGTCCCTTCTCAAGTTCCCAGCTCTTCGGAATAGGGATTCCACTGTCCGGGTGAAATAATGGGAAAAAGCAGAGACCCCCGAAAAGCCTTCTTCCATCCTATTTCTCCCCTATAAGTGATTTGATTCGTTATATTTTATTGTTTCATCCTCCATCACTTTTACATGTATTCATTTTCTCCGTTGTGTTGTTCTTTAACAGACGGTCGATCGTCGCCTCTCGCCATAACTGTACAGTACGGGTGCGAGTGCAGGCACAAACATACATAATAGAGATTCTAACAAGTCAGACAGTGTCCAGAGCCTCTCTGTTCCGTGTCTCTCCCATTCAAACCCTTCTCACTCGCCTCTATCAACCCTCCGCCCCTCTTCGTTAATTCCCCTAAAAAGGCGCTGGATCCCACGCGCCAATTGAGGGCTAAGAATTGCTTTGTCCGACTGAAGGGGGAAAAAAAAACTCCTTACAGGTGGGCTTCCACGCCTTCTTCTCCTGTTCCTCTTTCTATCGTGGCTTTCCTGGTGAAAATTCCAATATAATCAAGACTTTCGCTTCTTATTTTATTTGCCGAGTTCCCTTCCATCTATTGTTTCGATTCTCTCCACCCAGACCAGCCCCCCTACCCCTGAGAAAATCTAACCTAGCCGTCTAAGAGGGTATGGTGCATTGCGATATCACTGCGAAAATAGGATAAAACGATAACGACGCCTACGCTTGCGGTACTTTGATTGGAAATTTCCTCTTGCACTCCTTCGCCTTTACACCGCCATACACGGCGAGATCATGTCGCTGAATGGACTAGATTCCCCACAATTGACAGAATCTTTTGACAAGGCATGTGCTGAGCCTGGTGGATGGTATGTTTGGCCCTTTTCATCTGTCGGGATTGGATATATTGGTTAGAGGTAGCTTCGGAGGAGTATGGGTTTTGTTTTTTTATTTGCAGGCTTTACTCACGCAGGATACCCTTCTTGAAGGTTCTGGATCAAATACACTTCCCGGGATGATGTCGAATTCTTGTGTCGCGGGAGCAACGGGTCAGAGGGGATGAGAGAAGCTGCTGCGAAGGAGCCTAACGATTCACCATTGTACGGATTCATAAGGTTCAGACGGAGAAATATTTTAATCAAGTACATTCCCGAAGAAACATCAAGGGTTCTAAAAGGTGAGTTTTGTCACAAGTATGATACCGTGACGGTACTAATAATTACGATCTGGCCGCATAGCTCGATCAGTGGTGCACTTCCAATCTATTGTGGAACGGTTCAACCCGCACGACACTGAAATTACAATTACTTGTCCCAAGGAGCTTCGTGACCATGCACTGACCTCGGCATGTTCTACCCATACCGCCACTGCCTCTATTTCCTCCTCAAATAGCTCTCTCCGACAACGTCGATTAACAGACATAGCCGAATCCGCAGACGAGGGGGAACCATTAAAAGTACCAGTCAACCCTGAGTCACTGGTACCTTTAGGGAAGACAGTTGAGGAGGGGAGAGGAAGCCAAGGGTTAGCTGTGGTCATTACAACTCATGATCCTAAGCCATCTGACGGGGGCCCTGGATCGCCGGTGTTTCTTGATGAAGACGGGGTCCATTTAATTTCTCCGCCATCCTCTACTTTCCCTGGTGGCGAAGAGCTTAGACGAAAATCAACCAATTCAATAAGACCCTCTCCTACTGATATTTATGGGTGCCCATACACGCCAAAAGTTAGACTTGGTCCTCGCCCACACGTCGAGTCGCAAAAAAGGCCTCACACCTCCAGTGAGCGATCGAAAACCTTTCCTAGTCCAGGGGAGGAATTCCGCCCGGTAGCGTCAGTGCCGAAATCGGTTCAAATTACACCAAGAAAGTCTAGCACCACATCAGTCAGAGCTAAATCGCTGACTTCTGAATCTGTGAAATCTATTCCTATTTCTCCGGCCCCAGAGATCTCGCAGCATCCCCCGTCACCAGCAGTATCACCACCACCACCCCCAACAATTCTTCCTCCTCCATCACCACCACAACCCGAGGGCCCGCCAGTTCTGAGTCCCGAGAAACAACGGCTGATGAGAGCATTACAACTCCGTAGACAAACAATGATGCCTGAAGTGAGGGAACACGTCAAACTTGGCGACGACACACCTCTGGAAGATCCACTAGTAAACGTCAAAGAAAAGGACGAAGCGAAATCTATCGGAAGCGAGTTCGAGGAGGACATCGCCTCCAACAAATCGATGCCCGAGCGGGAGCTTTTCGAGCCTTCACAAGAATCAATTCAGGGTTCCGAGAAGGTGTTGGACGCGAGCACTGATCAGGGGGAAATTAACATCAGTGCAGGAGCAGAAGAACAGGGATCCGGACCAACAGAACCCGAAAGCACAGAACATCACCACATCCACCAGTCCGAAGGGGCAAATTCAGTAACTGAAGAGCAACAGGCCGAAAGTACGAAAGTCCGAGGAGAACCTGAATCCGATGTCGAGACAGAATCTGACCAGTCAGTGGAAGTGTCCATAGCAGAATCGAGGCCGATCTCTGTGAAACCCGTACAACAATCACTTCCAAATATCGTCAAAAGTATCCACCACACAGCCCAGACAACGCCCAAACCCACTTCCCCAATTGTGGCTCCAAGCCAAACCGTTCCTAAAGTTCTCAAGAGAGCCGAACGACCTGAACCCGAGCGAGTACCGCCCACTGAAATTCCTGTCATTGAGACTGCCAGATCGGTCTCTGCTCCTTTTCTCAAGGGTGCACGTGAGACAACTAAGCCTGTCGTAGTACGCAAGGTCAATGTCGGTGGTGGCGGAAGTGTCCTCCAGCGAATTCGACAGCTGGAAATGCTGTCGGCGAGTGAGGGGGGAAGCGCGGTTCCTCCAATCTCTCCTCCAAGGAGTCGAAATATTTCACCCGCCCCGGCTTTCCCGCCGCGTCCGGCCAGTGTGCACAGCAATCCCCCCATTCGTACATTGTCGAACCCCCCTCCTGAACACCGTGCATCTACTTCATACATTTCACCCACCAGGATCCAAACAGCACCCGCCCCCGAAACCCCTCCCCGGGAAGCTGCGTCTCCCATTCCACCAAAGCCATGCTCCCCACCTAAGATAGAGATCATTGAGCGAAACAATCGACCAGAGCTACAGGTCACGACAACTATCACCAGGGATGAGAGCCCTGTTCCACTCTCCTCACCTAGCCCGAGCAAAGTAGCGGATGCCCCCCGAAATAGTCCCAAAGAACGGGATGTCTCTTCGCCTTTGCTGGAACCTAGCCCAACACGCCGAAGAAGCGTTGATATTGGATCTGTACATTCACAAAACTCTTCTCGCCGACCGAGTGTTGATAGGCCCACCCCATCAAGATCCTCAAGTTCAAAGGACTTGGAGAATTTGCCGGAAGGCCGCCCAACTTCTACCTCTAGCAAGAAGAGCAAGGGTGCAAAGAGCCGACGGGGTTCCTCTAGCTCATCGGGATCCAGTCACCGACGTGGCAAGTCCCCAAATACCCCTAAATCACCTAAATCATCAAGTGGGTTTTTGAGGAGGATGAGCTCATCTCTGTCTAAGAAGACCAAGGAGCTGGCTGCTGAAGTTGTATCGACTGCGGCACCGACACCAGTGCCGGCCCCAGTACCAGCACCTGCCCCAGAACCAGCACTGATTCCCCAGCCAGCCCACAAGACCTATCTCTTGGCTGGTTGGATCAATGTTCAGTTACCTGATACGATGGTGTGTTTTCTTTAGACACTTGTAAAACTAGGATGGAGAGCTAACTTGCTACCCCCTAATAGCTATGGAGACGACGATGTATGAAAATAGATTCGGATGGATGGCTATTCCTCTCTCTGACGGATGACGAGGCATGTTTCTATCTTCAGCCCTCTAATACCACATTCTAACATTTCATAGAATTCCCCTCAGACAAGAAAATATCACATCCCCAGCGAGATCCGTACAGTCGACCTGCCGGACGTGGATGAGCAAGAGCTCCCCCACAGTGTTAGACTTTTTCTAAAGGAAGGCGGAACACTCCAGTGCGCTTGCCAAAATCGTAGTGAGCAGAAGGAGGTTTTCGGAGGTATGCTCCTACAGGTCACGATTTACTGTTGATGCTAACTTGGAGACCAGTAATCCGTGGCTGCACCTCTTAGAAACGATTTTTGTTTCTTGCCCCTCCTCCCACTATAGGGCCCCGGCTCACACGTGGCCCTTGGTAATTATTTTACATAACCTAGTTCTCCAGATACCACTTTTTTTCAATTGTTTGTAAACAACTGGTCGGATGCCACAACGCCCTGTGGACGTTCTATCATGCACCCGTGTTCTTTTTGTCTCAGGGCTAGTCACCACATCGAAACTCTTTTCCTATTCCTTACTATCGTCCTATATTCTCTTTCCATAATATTATTATCTTCATAGCGAGGCGGGTGTGGGGGTAAGCAGGGGTTTTTGTCTGTGATTTCCAACATTTACTTTTACTCTTTCTAAATTTTTTATTGAGCATCTCCCTAAGGAGTGACTTTTTCTTTGGGCGTAGCCTTTTTTATGTTCTTCCCTCCCCGCATTCCCTTTGACCTGTGTGTGCGATATTACCTAGCGCAGTGCCAATTTTCTTGCTCTCTTTTTATTTATTTTATTTATTATATACCCCTATTTTTACATTCGTATCACCAAACTGGATGGATAGAGGGGGAACGGGAACGAGAAGGACAGTGGGGATGTTCTATCCTGTGTATTATTATGGATTACACTTTGATTGGTTTGGTCGGTCTAGTTGGGCTACGATATTTCAGCGGTACTGTGCACGGGTACCGAGTTGTCCGTCCGGCGGCGTACTGAGTACTTACATTCTACGTTCTACCACACACACTTTTTTTCTTTTGGTTTTATCCTTATTATCATTTAATTTTTCCTGTTTTATTTAGTTTACTTCGAGGGAGTTTCTTTCTTTCTTTCTTTCGCAATACAACAGGGAAGGAAAGGGGCAGATAAGCATAGGCTGGATCGCTTATTTATTTATTTATTTTCTTTGTTTAGAAGTATATTGTAGGTAGAGCCTAGCAGGAATTCAACCATCGAGCTTATACGATAGTCGTTGTGTAGACTACGAGCGAACATGAGCGAGAGATGCCAGCAACAAGAGTGAAGAAAATTGTGGGACGAAGGAAAGCCATGGTAAATTCAACACGCCTCCGAACGACGAGCCGAATTTAAGGTAGATTATTTGAATACCGCAGAAAAGAGCATACTCGAGCACGGTATTGAAGGTAAAAACTTGTAATGCAAACCTAACCACGGTATCTTTACTTACTACTGTAAGATAGCTCGATGTTAGTAATTGCCTATTTGGGTTTTGTACTCGTACTTGCACGGTAGCTTAGGAAGTGGAGTTACCGGATCACGTTACCCGCTGATGTCACAATGCGGGGGGATTGATTCACTATCGTGCGAAACTCTCAGTGCTAACTTAACAGCTTTGTAAAAATTGTATTGTATGAACTGTCAAGGGCATTATCATAGTATATCACTCATGGACAGTCCGTAACGGGCTTCTCCACTAGCATTATATACCATCACGTATCGTACGCATTCATTCACCCATGGGCTGTCAGAGATGTATGAAGTATCATAAGTGGTAGCAGTAGTAACAGTAAAAAGGGCGGTTTTTTTCCGGTACTCTCGGGCCCCGTTTGTACCGCGATGATAATAATAAGGCCTGATATCAGGCCTTATTATTATCAAAATGTACTCGTACGTGATTTGGTTTGGCGGGAGGAGAGTTGGCGGTATGGATAATATTATGTGGTTTGACATTTATCAGCATTCTGCCAAGTAAGTTAACTTACACTTCAGCGGGCTGATCCTGTATTCGTATTATAAACTTTTCCTTTCCGAGTTGATACTTCTACAAGTGAATAGGTGATGATGATAGAGAAACTCCTTATGGAAAGGTACGATATCTTACAGGATGGTCTAGACACCGCATGATTTTGGGATTTTTTTCTTCTTTGACCTCTTCGACCTTCAATGCTCGTTTCAGTCCTCTGTCGCTAAGGGAATGTAAGGGAATGGATAAATAAATAAATAAATGCATCGGTCATCGGTAGTTACCGACCGACCGATTCTTTTTCATAAGTTGGGATTTTTATCATCCATATGATACACATTCCCCCTCACACTTTTAAATGCCGGGAAAGACATTCCCCCCCCCCATTTTCCAGAGAGAAAGGTTATCATACTCGGATGGGGGGGGGCAATGATCTTTCGAGTATTATTTTTTTAAAAAAAATAAAAAAAGGCAAATTGTTTATCTGTACTCGTAGAACCGATCAGCTTTAGCGGGGGGCGTATTGGAAAGGAAATCGTTCGTTGGGAGTGTTTCCACGGAGTACTAGTAGTCTCGGTGCAATATCTCAGTAGTTTACAGTTATTTATTTAATAAGCCATCTCCATGAAAAAAAACGCTAACTATTTTTCGAAATTGTATGATATCATACGTCCCGAAAAGGGCCCAACTGGTTGATATGTTTTGGCGTTTCCGGGACCTGATAGGTGGGTATGTGTTGTGGGGTGCCGGAACCGATAAATTCTTTTTGTTTTTCTTCCCCGTGTCGGTAAACAACGCCCTGACGCTTTTACCGCACAAGTTTTATTTTAGTGTGATCGACAACAGGGCTTTCTCGCCCCTCCAATCTTAAAACCGACCTCCGCCCTTCTCCCCTGCGCGAAATCTATCATATCATATCATACCTCCTCAACTACTAGTACGGCAAGCCATATACAAAACCTTTCAACAAAAAAACCACCAAATGTCCCAAAACCTCCCCCTCCCTCCAATCGCCCTCCCAGGCCAACCCCTGGCACAGTCACCCCCGTATGCCGCCGGCCCCGGCACGTACACGACGCAGAATCCCACCCGGACAGTAATCACCGCGTCAGTGGCCGGCATCCCACGCGTGCATGCGGACAAGAGCGTCAGCGTCACCCGTCCCTCGCCCTCCCACCCGCTCCTCCTGCTGCCGGAGGTGGCGAGCACCGTCCTGGCCCGGGTGACGAGGCTGAACCCGCGGCAGGCCACTGTCGAGATATTCGCCATCCAGGGCGGCGGCGACGGGATCCATGGTGGTGGTGATGGGGGGTGTGTGTGTGAGCATACGTTTCAGGGAGTTATTCGCGCGCAGGACGTTCGCGCTACGGAGAAGGATCGCATCAAGATGTTGGAGAGCTTCAGGGTTGGGGATGTGGTTCGGGCTGTTGTGGTTTAGTTCTTCCCCCTCCATTTTTGTTTGATGGGTTGGTTGGTTGGTACTAGTGGTGGTGGTAGTGGTGTAGGGGGTTGCTAATTGTGTGTGTGTGTGTGTGGGTTGACGGGGTAGATTTCGTTGGGGGATCAGTCGAATTATTATCTCTCTACTGCTAGTAATTCTCTAGGTGTTGTTGTTGCACATTCTGGTATGGTCTTTCTCTGCGGGGGTTTCTAAGTGAGGGAGCAAGGGCTAATGTGGGGCGGTGGGGAATTTGTGTCGCAGATGCTGGAGATCCACTGCATCCGATTAATTGGCGGCAGATGGCGTGTGCACGTACCGGGATTGTGGAAGAGAGGAAGGTTGCGAAGCCTATTTGATCTGTCCCACTCACTTTATCCCCACGCCTCCCAGATACAGGTATCATACATAGGTCAGATTAGATTTCAGTGTGGGTGGGTTTGTAGGATATCATGTTTTCCCTGCTTCTCGCTTTATTTCCGGCCAGCCAACGGCGTTTCCACTGCTTCTGCACAAAAATTGGTCGACGACGATGGTGTGGTGAAGAGATTTCCATTATCATGGTATGATATCCTAACTAACAAACTTCCCGTAAAGCAACAGTGAACCATTGAGAAACGCGGTGAAGTTACACAAATTCATATAAATACATGCTAAACAAACACCTTTTATCAATCAATCATGCAACAGTATAGTATCCATCGGGCCCCCGAAAAGATGAAATATAATTTATAATTTATGGCATTCGACCCAGTCGCGTCCCAAAGAAATGATGACAAATATAGATATGGAAGGGAAGAACAAACTACCGGCAAATTACTAAGGAATAAGAAGAGGCTGTCATATCCAGCTCCATAACCAAGCAAACTTGGTGTCTAATTCACCTCCAGCTTCTCCACCGCTGCTGAAGCCTCCGCGACTGGATCCCGAATATTCCCGCCCTTGAGTTCCAACTCGCTTGCACCGATCTTGGATCCCAGCTCCTTCCACCGAGCAGTATAGAGTGCTCTGCGCTCCTTGGTGATGCGAATGAACTCGGGCCACCAGATTGAATGGTCGTACTCAAAGTCGCACTCTCCGCCGAACTTCTTGTCAAGTTGACTGGGGGGAACATGTAGAGTCATGTCTTCATTGAACTTAAGCTTGGCTCGAGTCTATGAAAAGATGTCAGGGCCCGGATGATGAGGAATGTGGAAAGGAGGTATTACTAAAGGGTCCATAAACGGATTGATGATCTTAAAGAAACCATGAACAAACCATGGAACTAAACATCGGTTGCCCGTTAGTCAAAAGGAGAATCGTTAACTTGTTATAATACTAAAGATGACTTACGATTGGTAACTAACGCTCTCCCTAGCCTCTCGGGATAGTGCCCTTGAAGGATATTTAATGTCAACCGGCTTTGGGCAATATTCGGATTACTACTAGTAGTGGATGCTGCAAAATCCACTAGCAATGCCAGAGTCCCCTGTCCAGGCCCCATTAGATCTACTGCTCTCTCTAGCATGAATACCAAATGCTGAATTTGCTTCGGACTCTTCTCAGTATTCTGCTTAGCGGGATTAAGGTAAAGACAAGGGCGTCCATTCTTATCAAACCCAAGAAAGTACTGCTTGCCAGTCTGGTTCTCAGCCTCAATGTACTCCGGTGTGTGATCGAGAACCCCGTACTCCCGTCTCCAGACAAGAGTAGCTTCCAAACGCTTCTTCACATCAGCGACATTCCATTTGGTCGCGCGCAGATAGCGCAAGAAGCACTCCCTGGTTAACCACATCTTCTCTTCATCATCAATCTCCCTGGCAGCGGCCGCCCTGTCAGACGATACGGGAATTGGCCCGAGAGCTTGTGCCCAAGCGAGGATTTCTGCATATTTCTCCTGCTGATCTTGCTCCAGGGGATTCTCAGGCTCAGGCTTCGCTTCGGGAAGAGCCTCGGTGAACAAACCGAGCTTTTTTCCGGTCTGTTGCTCTTGTGCGAGTATCTCAGGGTTGGGCTTTACTGATGCGGGTGATAATGCGGTGGGCGTAGGAGCCACCTGGGTGACTGTTGGAGTAGACGGCTTCTCCGATTCTGGGACAGCGCTCGGAACAGTAGTAGCGACTTCGGTCATGATGGTAGGTATGGTTGGGGGCCGAATGCTTGTGGGAAATATCGACGGTGAGCTAGGGGGTGGGGACAAAGGAATGTGCAAGGAACAACTATTCCTACTTATTACAGCAGCAGAACAAGAGCCTAATTAAACAAACATGTCAGCATCGCATTCCATAAAAACAGGGTAGCCATTGTATCATGGGCTCAGGGTTATTTTGTCCGGGTGGGATTGGACTCTAACCTTTGAGTTGACTGTGGAATTACGAGCAGTGTAAAATTTACAGGATCACTGCGGAATTGATGACTTCTGTGAGAGCAGAGAAGGGAGGGGAAACAGAAAGGGCGGAGAGGAGAAGGGAGGGACGGTTCGCCGGTTCGTTGGTTGCTGCTAATTATGAGGGCCCGAAAAGCCCAGGCGTTAGGCCTTCGGAACAATCCATAGTCCGCTGGATTAGTGTCATGCTCTCAAACTTCGGCAAGAAAGCTTCCGATCGCAAGGAGCCCCCAGAGGCTTGGCATGCAGTTCCGACTCCCTCTGGTGGATCCCATCAAAAGACCATCGGTGACAGAGTCAACTGGTAGAATGCCATCGCCTGCCATCGATACAAACTCTCTTGCTTTGTCGCTAGTGAGAGGCAGATAGCTACTGCTAAGGTAATTTTCTACCCACTATAAAACACTGGCAGGGTGCCGAGTAAAAGAAAGAAAGAAGTTATTTACCATGCTTTTACGAATTTCCCTGCCAATTCCCACGGTATCATTCGCTTTCTTGGGCGTCCTAAGGACCATGCCGTCGTGTGAACAGGATCCAAGTTTAAACCGATGGCATGCGATGCTATGATACTCTACTTGTACCAGTTGACCATGTGTCATCGGTGACATTTTAATGGATCACTTAACCCATTCGGATACAGACCCTAAAAAATCCCCATCCCACCGGGTGCTGCTGCACCCAATTATGGTAGCACAAGAGATCTGTTTGAGAAAATAACGGGATCTGAAAAGTTCCCTCCCTTAACTGGAAATAGATCACTAGGGTCTCCTGTAACATCCGGATTCCAAGACAGAGGCCTCGAGAGGGATCATCCTGCCGTGTGTGTGTTGGACCTCATTCGCGATTCTCTTAACCTATGATGCCAAACTAAACTTATCATGGGCTGACGGGCTGGGTTCGGTTGATATACTGATAGTGGATTATGGGGGGGGCTTTCACTGCGAGGGCAAGCACGGGCGGGCAGGTCGCGGAGCAGATTTGTTCCTGTGGAACGCGTAAAAAAAAAAAAAAAAAAAAACGCAAGAGATAGAAACAAAAGGCCGTCGTCCGTGTCTGATAATCTCTCGGTGGTGCCATTCTCTGGGGGTCCGCCCGGTTACAAGTATAGTACTCGGTGAACTATCATACAGGTAATCCTGCTATGGCCCGGCCGTGTTCTCTCTTTCTTTGATATTGTATCGAGTGAAGAGAGGGTAACGGTCCCAGCAGCCCAGCAAAAGTACGTACCGGTAGGGTATGATAATCAATCACAAGGCCAGTGTCACATTTATACTAACCACATTCAGGTGTCGCAAAAGCATGTTTGAGACCTCACATTCTAAAAAGGAAGAGTTGTGAGGCAGGTTGAGGCCACGTCCGCCTTTGTTATTCGCCCAGTGAACTCCTGAACTATCTCCTCTGAGGCGCCGGGCAGTCTGCCGCATTGCACTGCATTCATGATGCATCGTGATGTTCCCTCCGTTACCGCAATTTGTGTGCGAAGTGAGTACTCGAGTAGCGGTATGATTGGTAATTATAAGTCAGGCCACATTCCCCACCCAACTGCTCGTACAGTAACTTACTGTGCCAACCTGGCTTCACCGGCAACACATGAGTAATCAAATGAAGAATGATTAGCTATGATGGCAGCCCCCTGAAAATCAGAACCCGTACCTCTCACCTCCGGAAATCTCTCTGTACAAGTATATGAACCAACCCTTCAGCTATCTAGCGTGAAAAGGTTTGGACTTCCCCAACTATTTTCGAGGAATGCTAGAAGCCCAATGAAGTGGATAAAGATACCATAGCTACCACAGAAATTTCTCGTCAATCCCTGCCATTTGCTTTTCCTCTAGACTATAGCACCGTGTAGATTTTTTAACCGTTGCGGCTACGGGTGTATTGAGAGCGCTCGCTTGATCCACTGTAGAGCTCCGCCCTCCCGGTATTTTTATGACTATCATAATATTATCATCATATCCAAGGGATGCGTGAAGGGGTGGAACTTTTGGGGTAGGATACCGGTAGATGAGAGTGGGTTAGGGTTCCAGGTGTTGGCTTTTGCAATTGAACCTGCAAATATTGTGATGATATCATACCATCCCGGGAAAGCGGATTCTCATTCCTCGTTGTCTCGGGGGTTGGTATTTATTACCATAGGCGATCTGGTGTTCCTCAATTCACCCTACCGCCTTGTCACTGGTCCCGGAAGCAAGGTCCAGTGGAACGAGTGCTCTGTCGTGACCGTCGCTTGGTAAGGTTCGCTACGGTAGCAATTCCCGGGCAACAACGGTTGAACGACAACCAGCAGACCAAACCGTTTGCATAACCACCTCGTGCTAAGCGGTAACTATTTTGTAGATGAGAAAAAAAAGTATACCGCCAAGTTAACCTATATCATAGGCTTAAAAGCAAAAAAGTTAAGAAATAACTATGATTATCGCACCAGAACCTCATCTCTACCATTACTATAATACTAACAATCGAGAGACTTGACTATTCTGCCCGGAACAGTTTATCACGTGATGCTTGTTCAGGGTCCTGGTGCACACCATGTACTAGTACAGTACTCGTACTCGTACTGCAGAGCCGTCAGAATTCATGGCCCTGTACCCAATTTTGTAATGGTTCAAAACTATTGTTTCTGGTTGTTGCAGAGCATCTTCAGGTCTATGGTACCGAACAGTCCCGTAGTCAAAAAGCAATAATTTGGGCCCGGATCATAGTTTGGGATATCCTAACAACGTCACGCCAAATAGCCCCTAAGCTAGGGACAGTGAATATATGATAGTTATCGGGTTTATAGAATAGCTGGGCTAGCTGTGGTGGTATCGTACTGTAGTGGTGGTGGTGGTGGTGGTTGTGCTCAATTGTGGCAGTCGAATCGCAGATCCGAATCAACCTGCGGTCGCTCGAGTGCTTTACGCGTCCTCGCGTTTTTCCTTCCTTTCGAAATTTACCACCGCGACACGTCCCTCTTTCACAACCAACCGTAAAACCCACAACGGACAAAAACATCACCACATCGCACACACGATTTTGCCCTTCACTCACGAAATAACCCCCGGCTGATCCATTATTCACAATGGACCACTCCTCAACATCCGAAACCATCGCTGAAAAATTCGGCAAACTCACCCCCGAAGTTCTCGGTGAACTTGAGAGTATGCTTAGGATTTACGGGATCGGTGCCGAGGAGCTGTTCTACAAATGGGAATCATACTGTATTAAGATGGGGTCGGAAGACACAAAGTTGAACTTGGATACTGTGTTGGTGTTCAAGAAGGATGTGCAGGAGTTATTTGGGAAGGAGATAAAGTCCAAAAAGCGGATGCACGTAGCGAATACCTCGAGGCCGGTTGCCCGAACGCCGAGGGTGAAGGCTACGGGGGACCATGTGGGATTGTTTGTTCTACCTATCAGTGCACGAGAGGGGTGATGGTTTGGAGGCTAATTGCTTTGGTGGTAGCTTGGATGTATTAGTGCCCACAACACCGAGGGGTGAGAAGGGGAGTGTCAAACGAAAGTTTGAAAAGGCACCGTTTGAAACACCATCGAGCAAGGCGGGCAGGTTTTTGGATGTGAATTCTCCGGGCGCAGCTATCGGGTCTTCACCGGTGGGTACTCCGCATAAGGCCGGTGGGCAACAAATACCGTAATACCTCCCCTCTTCATCTGCTGGTCTACATGCTGACGGGCCATTTCGTAGTTCTACACCTTTTGCGCAGCGAAAAAATGCGGGCAGCACGGTCGAAGTGCTCAACGAGCATATCCCTAAGCCTTCTCTCCCGCTTCCCGAATCATCGGCGGACGCCGAACTTGCGTCGTGGAATAGTCGGGTTAAGGTTGTTTCGATCGTGGAATTGAAGAAATTCTCCTATAGACCGATGCATCAGAAACTCTCCGAGGCCTCAGAAGTTATGGATGACCGGATTGATGAATTTATGGATATGATACAAGAGCACCACAAATTGGCGGACCAACAGTTCGGAAATCCTTCTACAGCATCGCCTTCTGAGATTATAGCTGTGGGAAGAATATCCTGTGACACCCTGGATGGGAAACTTTCGCCATCTTCCGTTCTGCTTGAAGCATCACGAAAGATGGGTGCCGGCTCGAGAGTCCGACTAAAGTTGGATGCGGTGCTGAGTTATTCGTTTTTCCCCGGACAAATTGCCGCTGTGAGAGGTGTCAATGCGTCTGGTGAATATCTGGCTGTCCGTGAAATACTTGATATCCCGAGGCTACCCCCCCCAACATCCTCCCCTAATGTGCTGCTAGAGACTGCCAATCGTTTATCAGCCGGGGGTCTTAACATCGTCGTTGCATCAGGACCATACACAACAGACGACAACCTACATTTCGAGGCGCTCAGTGAGATATGTAACAAAGCAGCTGAATCGTGTCCTGATGTTCTGATCCTGACGGGGCCATTCATTGATGCTGATCACCCTCTCATAAGGACTGGCGACTTTGATTTTGAAATACCGGACCGGGAGTATGGCGATGGTGGTTCAATGGAGGATTTATTCCGCGAAAGGATCTCCCCCAAGATAAGACTAGTGCAGCGCAGCATGGTACTTCTGGTACCAAGCGTACGAGACGTCGTTAGCGGGCACATATCCTTTCCCCAGGAGCAATTCAAGCGCCGACAATTGGAGTTACCAGTAGGTTACACCCCTGAGTGATCCGCGATGGACCGGGCTGACATAGGACACCTCCCTCGGCCTGTAGAACGTAAGATGTCTCCCAAACCCGGCCACCTTTTCAATTAACGAGATCGTCTTCTCCGTATCCACAAATGACATACTGTTCCACATGACTTCACAAGAGATCAGCCGGTAAGACAACCCCCCCTTTTTTCTCTTCCGGATTCCAACTCCCCACTCCTACCTGCCTACCTACCTCTCTCCCCTCCCATCCCTGGGGCCAAACCGATAACAAAATTTCCCACAGAAACCCCCAAGACACCAACCCCACCGCCCGTTTCTCAAAAGCCCTCATCTACCAGCGTAACCTCTACCCCCTTTTCCCGGGCCCCTCGAAGGAGCAATTGCCCCGTGGCGCGACAGGACCAAATCTAGACGTGCCGAACCTGCGGTTGGCGGACCTTGTAAGTCTTGCGCCGGACGTGCTCGTATTGCCCAGCATGCTGGCCAGCTCGGCGAAGGTGGTCGACGGCGTGCTTGTCTTGAATCCGGGGTTCTTGTCGAAGCGGATGGGGCCTGGGTCGTATGCCGAGATGCATGTTCTGCCACCTCAGGTCAAGGATGGAGAGGAGGGGGAGGAGGAGTTGAGCCATAGGGTTTGGGAGAGGGCTAGGGTGGAGGTTTTGAGGATTTAATTTCGGGGGAGGGAGAGAGAGAGAGTACATTGCTGGGAGGTATCATAGGTAGTAGAATAGAGATAAACCTTCCTTTATAGTGAATCAATGATTTTTGCTGGGAGGTGGGTAGTAGAATAGAGATAAACCTTCCTTTATAGTGAATCAATGATTTATGGGTGTTTGTAGAAACGTTGTGTTTCTGTTGTATAATACCAATGGGTGATTAAGATACATGGTGTGAGACGTGGGGAATGGAGGGGTACGATATGATAATGATATGCAACAGGTACAGATAGGGCTTGCCGAAGACCCCCCCCCGGGCTTGATCAAGGGTATAAACAAGGGTAATAATAATAAGGAGCTCTCATCAATACGCAGCACATCGCATCATTATAACGACCACCACCAAGCATAAACAAGGTCAAACACCACTGCTATAATCCAATCAATGAATCATAAGTGCTCCGGTCCCAGTCTGGTCAATCGGTCCGTTCGCTAATTCATTCACCCTCGTCAGACCCCGAGGGGGGTTCTGTCGGTATCAATAAGACGCATCTTTCCCGTTCATAGCACTAGGCTTCTTGGTATCATTCTTGACAGGCTTGCTCGGGACAATGGGTTCGGCTACCATGCCTTTGCTCTCGACAAAGGCGGCGGAGCGACTATAGGCAGGGTTTTGTTGGTAGTATTTGTCTGCGGTGCCGGATTAGCTTGTTGTTCCTGGGGAAAGTGGAAGGTGGAGGGGGGTACCAATGATGGGGTGTATCAAAACTGTCTGTTTGTTGATTGTTAAGATGCTATTTGTAGGCACGGTGACCCAGTCGCCTGATGTTTGTTGGTCAATGGAATATTGAAGGGGCGGGTTGAGCACGGTAAGGGAAACAAACCTCGCTCGAAGGTCAAAGGCTCACTGGCAACCATGACCAAGTCCTGCCCGCGATCATGCCTCTCCATACGATAGAAGCCTCCCTCCTTATACTCGTGAAACCTCGTTCCGCTCGAAAAGTACAGACTCGCTGCCTCGTCGGTCCTCGAGCAGACGTACCGTGTGCAAACGACCGAGTGTCCATCCGTAGCCGCAAAGTTCAAAAGGCTTGGCTCTCCGGTTCCGGCTTCATCCAATAATTCATTCAACCTTCGAATTGTCCCGAGCATCGCCTGCCTAAGCACACCATGTCCGAACCCTCCCCCTCCCCCTCCCCCCGCTCTCTCGTCCTGCACTTCAGGCGGGGACTTTGGCGAGTATCCCAGTGAATGCAGCGTATCTAAGAACAAGGCAAAAGCCCACTCACTATCCGTAGACCCCTCCACCATCAAAAAGTACTCATCTCGGATAGCATTGACGATGGCGCGCTTGATCTTCTTGAAGTTCGCAATGTGCCCGTTGTGCATGAACATGAGACTTCCGTAGGAGAAAGGGTGGCAGTTACTCTCGTTGAGGGCACCGCTGGTGGTGGCGCGCACGTGGGCGAATATGAGTGACGAAGCGGTCTTCTTCGCCAAGCGGGAGAGGTTGACACAATTCCAGGCCGGGGTGGTGGAGGTGAAGATGCATGGCTCGGTGGAAAGAGTGGGCGTGGTGTAGTAGCCCACGCCGAACCCGTCGCCGTTGTGGGGGAGGCTGTCGAGGCGTAGACGGCAGTCGTAGGATTGCGTTAGGATTGAGTGGGTTGGGTTGAGGATTAGATCTGAAAGGAGGATGGGGTTTTTACCCTTGTAGACTAGGAAGCGGCCTGGTTTTTGTTAGGCTGTTGTGGGAGTAGCTGGGGAGTTTTGGGGGCGCTAGAGGAGGAGGGGCAGAGGAAGATAAGATGCCTTACACATGGTGGTGGTGATGGGTGGCTTTCTATCTGCTCAATTGAACTTTAGCGTGATGTACCAGTAGTAGTGGAATTCTCGGCGGGCGAGGCGTGCGGTAAGAAGCGATCTAGAGGGTCGAGGTAGGAGGGGTAAAGGGCAAGCTGTGAAGAAAGAGCTGGAATAATCGCTTCACGCCAGAGGAAAGTCGGAATTGCCTCTCCATTGAATCCTGTTGTTTGTTTTTCTTTTTATTTGTCTCAGCAGAGGGGCAAAAAGCCGGTTCTTTTTCGCGGAGATTCCTCTCCTTGTCCAGAAAGGGGAATTCTGGACGTCTTGCGAGTTTAGAGTGAGGTTCAACCATTCTAGACCTCACGCGGGAGTGGGGGACACTGAATGGCGGAATATGATGCGATTTGCTCGATATTTGTCTTGGCAGGTTCAAATAGCTCAGGTTATCATATGGTAAATTTAGGTAGAGTACTGTGCGCGTACAGTATCCGTATTTGGCGCTTATACCAGGATTGGTCTGTGGATATATTTCTGATGGATAGTACTGTATTATACTGGTAGTCCTCTCGGACATGCATCTACGAAACCTATCGGTTGTGGAAGAAGGGAAATTCCGTAAACGGGGTTTTGCCGTTCTTTATTGGCTGGGAGGGGTATCTGTGCTAGTTTAACCAATACAGCTGAGTTCACCGGCTAACCCCTCGGCTCTGCCCGAGTGCAGTACCGGTAGGCACGAGTGAAGTATCTCGTTTTAGGAAGGGGTGGCCATCGCGTTACGGTATGTGTAGAAACTGCTCCCGAATGCTGGCTGTTAGCAAAACTGTTGTCACCTACTTTCCGGCTTGACATCCCGCACAGAGTACTGTACACAGACTTCACTCTCCATTGAACACCTCACCATGAACAACAAGCAAGCGTCGTACGAACGAGAGAGTCTTTTCTCTGCGCTTACTAATGCTAGCTGTCTCCTTGGGAGGTTTCGGTTTTGTGTACCGGGAGTTTAATTTTATAAGCTACCATACAGATTGATGCCGGGAAACAGAGGAAAATGATAAAACAGGTCAGGTCCAAACAAAAAAACAGTGTACTCCCTCGTCTGCCAAGAATACCTCCGCCACTCGATATTTTGCTGGAGTCCTCACCAAATATACGGCCCACGGGGGTATTCTTGGCAAAGATGAGTGAGTGTTCGAGCATGGAATGAGTGGATTCTAGTTTTTAGAAAAAGGAATATTTCTTTGGCCCCGGAAGCTTTTTAAAAAGGAGTTGCTTTGTGGTATCGGGATAAGAGAACTCCCCATGGTCAATATTCTCAGGTCGAGATTCACCTTCAGGGTACTTGATATCATACTGCAAGAGGATGAAAATAAGAATGGTCTTCATCCTCTCAGTAGCAAAGAAGCGACCAGGGCATGCATGCTTTCCATGACCGAAGGCGAGGTCGTTTGAGGAAGTAGTCGCCCAATAGTTGTTATTGCCTTCAGCTTCGAGAGACTTTTTGTACCAACGAAATCCATCGAATGTCTCTGGATCCTCAACAAAATCTGGATCGGAAGAAAACATTGAAGTGGGGGCAGTTATCAGGGTACCTTTCGGCAGGTAGGTGCCATCGGAAAGAGTAACGCTTTTTAGAACCTTGCGATTGAAACTGACTTCGCGAGGGATTAAGAACATGGCTTAAGAAAAAAAGGTAGTAGTATACTTACAAAGGCCAATCTTTCCTCTCATAGATTCTTTGAAAAAGCTATCGGTCTTCTTCATCTTGCGCAGAGCCACCCTGTCCAACACTCCGTTATTTGCGGAAATTATGGCTTCCATCTCCTCACGGATTGGTTGAATGCACTCCGGATGCGCAAGGAGGTCGAAGATTGCATTGAGAAAGGAGATAGATGTTGTATGAATTGCCGCCAAGCTAAGAACCAACTGCAGTTCAGACAAGCCTTTTGTAGTCTTGTGTTTCTGGTCAACGCGGTCTGAGAGCCATTGAAGCATGTCGTTGGGCTTCTGAAAAACGGTTCCATTCTTTTTTGCAAGACTCTCTTCTTCAAGGCGTTTTCGAATAACAGGAGCGAGGAGGGATTCCGCCTTTCTTTTATCCTCAGCGATGTCTTTTACTAAATTCCGAACATAGGAGTAGATTGGACGAATCGGTTTTGGCACACAGGCGAGCTTTGAGTGAGTCATGAAAACATGTCCGGTGAACACCATTGTGATGGTCAACCAATCCTCATTTCGACATAAAGGAAAGCCAACGAAGGCCCTGGCGCTCATACGAGCGACTATTCTTATGATTGTGGCGAAAACTTCCACTGATCTCCATTCTGTTTTAATAAACCTTATCAGCACCTACTATGGGACAGCCAGAATAGGTTAGGCAGAAACACTAACCATCTGTAGTACATTCTGGTAGCTCAGTATTCAAGGCAAACCGAGCCTCTTCTAGCATTGCCTCATTCATACTTCCTATTGATTGAATTTTCATCAGTATCTCTCAATATAAACACTGATGGAAATGCTTGGAGACGGAAGAAAGAAAAAGAACCTGCACTGGCTCGAGATTTTTCTTTCCTTCTAGTCCTGGTTCTAGTAACTGACGGCAAGATATGCAAGCGGTTTGGTGCTTTTGTATATCTGCCCGAATACTTTTTCTCACTGCAAGTGCTTTCTTTTAAGGAGTTCCTTACCGAGATTTTGGGTGAGTTTGATTCTCACCACATCCTCAACAAACGTGGTACCCACGAATTGATCTAAGCCAGTATAATCTCCCATCATGGTCTTTATCAACGCACATGATCAGTATTAGTGAACTCGCGGGTAATATTTAGAGTGATGGGGTGTCTACTTCGACCGCGGCGTGAGAAATGCTGATCGTGTCGTCTGGTGCATTAGAGAGCTCCTTAACTTGGTCATGTGTGAGGACAACCTTGTCGTAGCTGTAGGTTGTAACAACAAAGTTTTTTCCTGGGTACTGTTAAGATCGTATAGTGTTAATAAACTGCTTAGTCATACTAGTTGACTTGCTTTAAGATAGCCGATGGCTAATCATTGAGCAAGCAGTTATGTAGACTGACCTTGTAATAAGCATTCCTCACGATTTTGTATCCATTAGCGACAAAGCTTAATCTCGCCTTTAGTATTCCAATGTAGCCTGGGGATTCAATCCCAACAATTGGAAACTTTGTGCCGCTATGAGTCGACCATTCCTTCTTCAAGAGGATGTAAATCCCAAGGAAAAGCAGTGCAAGAGAGGTGCTGAAAAGAGAGTAGCCATAAAGCTTCTTCTCTTCAACGCTGTCGATGAGCTGTATAAAGACACCCATGATTTCGAATGTGGGTTGTTTGTTGATTAGGAAACAATAAGAGGTAGAGGGCTTGGTTGGGGGAGAGGGAAAGATTAGAAGTAATTCTTTTCTTTTTAAAGGCAGAGTTTTGAGGGGCATAGAGTAGGGGCAGGGGGTAGGAATGAGTGGCTCTGGTGGATACAGTATTCGCAAGGTCCTCGAGGTCTCCCGAGTCCGCCAAAAAGGCCGTACAGGACATGGCCACGATATACAGTCCATCTTGTTTGCGAATGTGCACGGCTGCAGGTTTTGGCGGGGGCCGGGTCCCGGAAAGGTGGGGTATCATCTTGCGCTTCTTACAGCTGGAGAGAGTAGGAGCTAGTGACCGGTTTCGCATGTACGGACGGACATGGAGTGCTCGGAATTTCTGCCTTTTCTTCTCAACTCTCTTTTATGTTGTCTCCTTCCTAGCTTAGTGGTGCTACTAGGTGAAACTTGTGTTGAATTAAGAATCGTGCTATGTGACTTGTTGCATGATCAAGTCCAGATAGCCATTTCTTTACTGAGGCCAATATAATGAGAAACCACCTGCTGGTGGTCATTCATACTTCTTGATGGCAACACATAATGCGAGTGACAGACAAGGGCCACAAGCACCAAACTGTCACCCACGCGCCCGGAATACTGCCCCTGCGT